GCTGAGGTAGAGGGTTGTGAATTCAAAGCCAGCCTCAGGAATTTAGGGAGGCCCTAAGCAACTCAGATAGACCCTATCTCTAAATAAAATATATATTTAAAAAAAGGCTAGACAAATGGCTCAGTGGTTAAGCACCCCTGGATTCAATTCCAGGTACCAAAAAAAGAAAGAGAGATGGTATAAATCTGACAAAACAGGTTAAAAAAGACAGAGATGATTGAAAGTGATTGATTATTGAGGTTGTTTGTAACAGTCCCCAAAGTGTATGTCAGTAATATTTTAGATTTTTTAATTAATGTGATAATAAATGCAAATATTTCTTCTTTAAAAACAGAGAACAAGATGTGATGGTGCATTTCCATAATCCCAGCAACTTGAGAGGTTAAGATAGGAGGCTCACAAGTTCGAGGCTAGTCTCAGCAATTTAGTAAGGCCCTAAATACCTTAGTGAGACCCTCAAAATAAAAAAATAAAATGGGCAGGGACATAGTTCAGTGGTAAAGCACCCCTGGGTTTAATCCTCAGTACCAAAAAAAAAAAAAGTAAGAGAAAAAAAACAGGTGGGTGGCACACACCTGTGACCCCAGCTACTCAGGGAGGCTAAGGCAGGAGGATCACAAGTTGGAGACCAGCCACAGCAACTTAAGAAGACCAAGTCTCAAAATAGAAAATGAAAATTTAAAAAAGAGTTAGGGGTATAGCTCAGTGGGAAAGTGCCCCTGGGTTCAATACCCAGTACTTCTAAGTAAATAAATAAAGTAAGTAAAAGAGAAATTAAAATAAAAATTTAGATATATCAATTAAGTCTTAACTTTTTCTTCACATTTATTCACATAGATTGGAAAAGAAATCAGAGAAATTTTTCTCCATATGATTTTGTGATTTAGAATGTACAGATATAAAAAGAAGCTAACAATCTTTCTAAGCATGTGAAAAATAAAAATTAATTCTGTTTAAAGAGGAATACAAGCAATTTAAATGACTTTCCTCAGATCCCTATATAACAATCTCTAAAACTGCAGAAGTAAATGTTTATATTTGAACAATTTAACTACGGCCCTGAAAAGCTGCTCAATGCCCAGAAAGTACTTCTTCAGCAGCTGGTACCTACCCTGGTTGAGAAAACAAGGCAGAAAATGAGTTGAAGATTCCTAGAATATTGTCTAGTGTAGCCTAGCTGCAGAACGCTCCTAAGACTGTCACACGACATGTCTTCTAAAATGCTACCAGTAGATGCTGAATCACTCTTTTCTAGGGGATCTTGCTAAATTTTTTTATTTCCAATTTTGACCATTCTGAAGTAAAAGAAAAATTTCAAATTTAAAATTTGGAGTCTTTTATGGATGTATATTTATAGTGTTACTTATTTTAGAACCATGACTCTTCTTCAAACACTGTTTTGGCCTGGGAGACAGACACAGCACTGATTTGCACATATCCCAAACATATCATCAACCAGGCCCTGAGCATAACCAGGCAGGTGTGCCCCTGGGACCACTGAAGAACAAACACTATTTGTGAAATCATAAAACCATGGTCAAGTATTCTAGTGAACGTGATGCTGCCGCAAGTATAAGGAAATGGAGAACATTATCATGATGTCAGACATTCTCTCTCTCTTTTTTTTTTTAAGATCCTTGGTACTTTTTCTTCAATTGTGTTCCTCTGTGAACACAACTGTAGCAGTCTTGTAATTCACCACAAGGCAAAGTCCTAAACAATATCAGACCAGACTAAAAAGCAATTGGGCTGAGAGAAGAAATAACTAGAAAAATATTAATGAATTTTTTTTTCTGTTATTTCCTTCAGGCCACATTTCTCCCCTGCAATACTGTCACAGCACTACCTAGTCTGGGAAGGAGGTTGGCAACACTGTTGGGTACTCACTGTAGAAAACAAAATGATTTTCAAAAGCTAAGTCATGATGCTAAACTGCAAGTTACTAATGTCCAAAATGAATTCAGTGCACTAGTTTCTGTTGATATTTCCCATAAACTATTCCGGTTATTTTTCAATGAATCATTTCTGCTGAAAGAACCTAGAAATAAGCCAGAGTCCTTTTATACTTGACTTTTTAGTTTTAATGCAACAATACTGTTTTCTCTATATTCCTGAGAAATCAGAGCAGTCACAAAATGTTTTTAAAAAATGGCTTCCGTGTGACATCATCGCTGGAATATCTCAGTTTGCACAAGTATTTGGGATGGACTTTAGAAACAGAAAATATTACTTGAGACTGATTTAGCTCACTGAAGTAATGCTCCCAACTAAAGTACATAAACTTATTTAAAGGATAAAAATAAGTTTATGTACTTTATAACCAAATATAATGATTGCTTTATTACCCTAAGATACATTTTCAGATAACTGTGCCAATTCATTAGGAACCACAAATTGTATTTTGTTTATGCTAAAGGTAACTCAAAATACATATATGAATAAATACCATTTGGTAAAAATAATCCTGATCATTTTTTTTAACCTTCTGATATACAGAACTAAATTGCCTTAAATTTCTATAGAAAAAAAATATAATTGGTGTTTGTATTATTCTGCAATAAGCAGCCACTGTTATATTATTGCCACGAAATTTTTTCCCATTTTCTCATTGCTGATGATGACACTGTTACAGGTAGTTACTCCCTACACTTCCTACTTTTCTTAGTCTCTCTCTGACACTAACCAATATGGACTAGTGAATACTTGAAAAAGGTATCTTCTTCCAGTATAAACTGATTCTTTCATAAAATATCTATTGTATACCCTCTATGAGTTAAGCTTTGGTTAAAGATTTTGGATGCAATGTTCATTAAGATAGATTTCTTCAGGTTCATTATATTAAATGAAATAATCCAGGCACAGAGAGATGAATACCATAATCTCATTCATAAGTATAATTAAAAAAAAAAAGTTAATCTCATAGAAGTAGAAAGTAGAAGGGTAGTCACCAAAGGCTAGGGGTGTTGAGGGAAAGGAAACTGGGGAGACACTGATCAAAAAAAGACATAATTACAGTTAGATAGGAGGATTAAGTTCAAAAGATCTATTATACAGCATGGTGACTATAGTTAATGATGATATATTTCTTGGAAAGTGCAGAGAATTGGTGTTAAGAGTTACCACAAAAATGATTGCTATGTGAGGTAATGCATGTGTCAATTAGCTAGATTTAACCATCTCACCGTGTATATATACTTCAAAACATCACATCATGCATGATAAGTACATATAATGTTGTCCATCAAGTTTGAATAAATAAATAAATGGCAGGTTCCCTGACTTAAGAGCTCATGGTCTATTAAAGGCAAAAGACAACTGTGTTAAGATTTTCCACGCAGAGTAAGCGCAATGACACAGAAATATCCCTAGAAGGATTGTTTGAATCAAGCAGGAAGGTCAGCTAACAGTTATATTTCATGTCATGAAATAAATCCACCTCCTTTATCACAAAGGTGATGCCCTAATACTGTCTGGTTTCCACTTCTCCATCTTGGCAAAGCACTGTTGATAGGTGAAGACAACATCAAAATATCTCTGAGAATCACAGTCATAGTCCTGTTCCGGTACTTCATAAGGTTCAGCATCACATCAGACTAACAACTAATCTAAGTTGGAAAATATAAACAAGTCCAGTGGTTGTTAAGAATAGGCATGCATATACCAAGAAAAACATAAGCCATGAATTTACAGCCTGGTACACAAATACTGTATTTCTAGTTGAGGCTTTAAACCATATTATCACATCTATTTTTTGGTTGTTTACTATCTGAATAAAAGTAAGCTATCTGAAAGTATAAATGCTTACCATATTATGTGCTAAATTAGAAGGCAGGTTGATTAGATACATCATAAATCAAGTCTTTTAGTTATAAAAACACACAAATAAGGCCTTCCCAACCCTAAAATAAATTTACATTATAAGAAAAACATTTTTTAAGGTATGTGCATAACATTTAAAATGCTAATATGCACCCAAAAATAAAGACTTGACATACAGAAAAGCAGTGCATATGTACACTAAAATTTATAATTGGTGACTTGCTACTCATAGTGCCTACAGAATCAGGTAAAAGAGACTGAGTGCTTTAAACAATATATATGTTCTCACAAGTGCTTGATAGAAAATCAAAGCACATTCATGATTTTCTTCCAATACATCAGTCTTTAAAAGAAGCCAAAGACCAAAGACAACAAACAGTATACATGGCCCATTTGTGTATTCTGCTTTTATAAATATGGTCATTTTAACCTGAAGAGCCTCATTTGAAATGCAGGGCTACCCACATATTTGATATATACCATTTTTTCAGACCATCTGAAGGCCATTCAATTTCCCCATGGTCAGGGTGACCTCATAAGACTTGGGCATGGCCCAGCCTGGCTCAGAGGTGAAATCAAGGCAGCAAGATCACCCAGCAAAGTTGTTTTGCTCTAACAGCCCTGTAACAAGAATGACCAAAGCCAAGGAGAATGAAGATTGCCCAGCCTTTGTCAAATGGAATTGCCAGTTCTCCCAATGACAATTCCCTACCTCACTAGGAAGCAGTTGCATTTAGCAAAAAGCTAAGGTACTACTGATTCTACATCTTGAAACTGTGGGTCTTCAGGCACAAACATACTGGTCATCTGTGTGGATTGTGGGATTGTTACTGAAACCTGGGTTTGAAATAATAGTTTTGAGAAGTTTGATCTATCCATTCCAACCCGGTTCTGTATGGCCTTAGAGAGCTAATACTTGAGGACTCCAGTGAATGTCCCTCCCCCACAGGCTAAACAGCCAGGGCCTCCAGAATTTCAGCTGAGACATTCATTTCTTGGGCAATTTTTCTCTTGGGGTGGAAAACAATGGACTCTTTCCTTTTTTTTTTTTTTTCTTGTCAACAAAGGACTCTAAGATGAAGTCCTTTCAATTGCATCCTTTCCGACTTCTTTATAAATGACGAGTGGGCCAGGGGAGTGGGGGGAGCGGCCGAGCAGGGAAGAGGTGACAGGCAACTCACCTCCTTTAGCTGCTCCAGCTCCTGTTTGAGGCTGTCGTACTCAGCCTCCAGCTCGTCATACTGCTGTTTGAGGGTCAGCTTCTCTTCCAATACCACCAGCCCGTACTCAGCAGCCTGGATCTTCTCGTGGGTCGTCTCTGTGAGCTCCTTGGTCAGCCTCTCTATCTCGGTCTTATAATGGTCCACCGTCTGCAATACCTCTTCTGCGGCCATAGCCCCGGTGGATGGAGGCAGGTGGGGGTGACCGGGTCGGGGAGATGGGTGCAAAACAGGCGGGGAACGGGAGAAGCAAATGGGGAGGGGAAGCAAAAATGGAAAAGAAAAAGTGTGCCTGGATGAATGAGCAAAGCAATACCCTGACGGCTCTGCTGGCCGAGGCAGCTACACTGCCCGAGAAATTGAAGCGAAATGCAACATGGAGAATGTAGGCGAGAGGCTCAGGGGCGAGGCGGCAGCTGCTGCGGCATGTGTCCTCTGGGCCGGCCCCTGCGTGCGGTCAGCAGCGGTGCGGCATGGCCTGGGCTGCGGCGGCCGAGGAAGGCGAGGGGCTCCGGATCCCGTTATTCAGAGGCGCGGGGCCGCCATGTCTCCCGGCAGCGTCACTGCAGTCTCCCCCTGGGTCTAGCGCGCTCCGGCTCCAAGCTCGCTCGCTCGCTCCACCTGCTCCCTCTGGCCCTGCAGCAGCCGGTGCGGAATGATGCAGTCTCGGGCCCTTCCCGCCTGCCCTCGGCTCCAGGCAGGGGGCGGGGAGCGGATGGAGTCAGCGCGGGGGGAGGAGGGAAGGACCAGACGGAAACGTCCCGAGGCGCCTCCCGCCGGGCGCGCAGGCTGCCACCACTGGCTGCACCGCCCGGCGAGCGAGACTTAGGCCGACCTGGCGGGGAGGCATCGGGAAGCTAGGAAAGCCCGGCGCTTGCGCCCGGCCCGGCTCTGCTGAAGCAGGAGTACCTTCCAGAGCCTTGTCCCCTGAACTTCGAAGCCCCCGAGGGTGGTGTGGGGGCCCCAACTATCTCGCTGCCATGTGGGCAAAGCTCAGGAAACTGCCTGGAATTGGTGCCTTCTCCAAGGGAACGCAAACAAAAATCAGCATGGTCAGGGTCCCCCACGCAACCTTCTTCCCGACCCGTGGGACCTCTGGCTCACAGTAACCTTTCCTAGCTTCCTACATCCTAATAAATGCTGCTTCCAAAGCTTCCTAGCTGTGGCCCCTAAGACACTTGCCCTCCCTCATCCTCTTCTCCCTGCGCCTCACCCCCTCTAGTCTTGCCGGGTCAACCAAACTCGCCACTAAAGAGCCTTACCATCCCCCCTCAAGACAGGCTTCCCTAAAATTGTTTTCCTTGCTGGGCATGGTGGCACTTGCCTGTAATCCCAGCGACTGGGAAGGCTGAGGCAGGAGAATCACAAGTTTGAAGCCGGCCTGGGATACCTGGGGAGATCCAGTCTCAAAAAGTAGGGCTGGGGATGGCACTCGGTGGTTTAAAAAAAAAAAAATGAGTTCAATCCCCACTACACACACACACACACACACACACACACACACACACACACGATTGCTTGCCTTCAACCTTTTCTGGTCCAGTTCATCACAGGATCATTGTCTACTCTGGAAAATACCATTATAATGCATGTACAAAATAAGCCTTTAGGCACTATTTCCTCCCAATGGTTCTTCCATCGAGGCATCTTACTCTATTTCATTAAAGAATGAAAGAAATGTCCATGAAACTCCCTTTACAAGGTATCTATAATACCCTACAACAAACACTGTAAATATAAGAGCAAAGAGTTCATGAGATCATGCGCCAAGCCTTCTTCTGAGTTTGTTATATCAAATTTCTTCAGTTCTTACAAGGATTCTGTGATGTAGGAGCCACTGTCTCCAATGTATAGGTGGTGAAAGAAAGTCACAGGAAGGTTGGGTGATTTGCTTCAAGTCAGGCAACTCTTTGAAGCGATGAAGCCCTAAAATGGATTATTACGTTGGCTTCACCTTCACTCATTTCTAATACAAGCTTAGCAACAAAATAGTATGTGTTTGTAAGATAACAACATTAATATGAAAGTGATGAAGAAGTGTCATAAAGGGACAAAAAAGTAAAGAGATGAAAAGGGTGGGAAAGAAATGAGGAGAGAGAACAATTAAGAAGGAAAGGAAGAGCAGTAGAGCAAAGAACAGTTGTGTGTAAATAGGAGGCTATGGGTTCCATAGACCAATGGGTCTCACCAGTTCCTTCCCTCTCTCCTATTGAGAGGCACCTATTCCAAATTGTTTCTCAGTGGCCACGATGTGTTCAACGCGTGAATTGTCTGAACCAGAGAGCAGAAACCAACCCTACACTGTGCATATGGTATAGGAAAGAAGACAATCGATGGTGTGGGAGGAAAAGAAAATGAAAAACCTTTAGAAAGCTTCCAGTAACAGGCTCTCTGGAGGTAATTTCCATTGCTTCAGAAACCAGACCCCCCCCAAAAAAAAAAAGATTCCCTCTAAATGCTTACAATCAAAATATTCTCTTGCAATTATCTGATATAAATAAAGGGGAAACTGTGCAGCCACCATGAATTCCAACATCAAAGAGGAGCTGGGATAATAATAATCCCATTATTACACTTATGCTTCCCAAGCCTCACCCTCCAAATGAAAAGCCCCTCATGTGTGCCCCTGTTGCACCTGTCCTTTGTCACACTGATGAATGATCATGAGCTGCAAAAGAGATGAAACTCACAACTGTGGGGATTTTTGTGTTGTGTCCCTGAATGGTCCTCACTCCACAAACTAAGCAGAGCTCTTCCAAAGAAATCATAATACATAGAGTATTATGGGATAGAACTAAATGGAGTTTGCCTCTGTGGCTTTTCTTGTTCTAAGTTTCCATTGCTGCCCACTCCCTATGCTCTATCCTGCCCCCATTTCCCTCATTGATACACTTTTGTTAACTTTATTCAAGCCTGCATACTATTTTAACACTTCAAGATTTTGCTTAGTTCAACTTCAGTCCTTTATATGTTGATATTTAACTTGAAGAATTTCTTATACACAATTCTTCCAGTACTGCAAGTTACAATTCCCTCTTTTTTCATATATGTCTGAATACTTGTGGGTGTGTGTCAATGAGTTATAAATCAATGACAGGTACATGGAAAATAATTTGGGTTTTGCTTTGGGTTTTTTTGTTTGGTTTGGTTTGGTTTGGTTTGGTACTGGGATTGAACACAGCATTATTTACCAATGAGTTACATCCTTGAATCTTTTATTTTTATTTTATTTTATTTGTTTGTTTGTTTTTTGAAACTCAGTTGCTCAGAGTCTTGCTAAACCACTGAGACGCCTCAGACTTGCAATCCTCCTACCTCAGGTTTCTGGGTCACTCAGATTACAGTCATGCACCTCTGAGTCCAGCAGAAAATAATTTCTTAAACTATTCCTAGAAGCAGGGTTTCCTATACTTTCTTATCTTAGCAGTCTCCAATTATTCTGAAACTTTCTTTTTACAAATATTTAGGGGGGAAATTGTATTTTGTACCATAGTCCTCTAACCAATCTCTCACCAACTTTGTCAGCATGGATATTGTTTCTTTTGCTATCACTCATTCATTCACTCATTTAAAAGATGTTTATTAAACACCTACTGTGAACAACATACAATAGTAGGCACTGTGAAATCAATGACCAATAATGGTTGTCAATAGTTCCTTATGTTGAAGTGCTTATGTTCTGAAAGGGACAAGAAAAAAAAAAAAAAAAGCAAACAACAACCACCACCAAAAACATTAATTACTGGGATAATTCTAAATTGTGACATTAACAGGCAGGATGAACACAGTGGTTAAGAAGACAAGCCAGTCTACTTGATTCAAATCCAACTTTGACACATACTTGCTATATGTTTCTCAGTTCTTTCATTCTTAAAAGGGGGATAATAATATAACCTACTATTATGAATAGAATAGTATCTGACACCTAATAAGCAGCATTTTAAAAAAGTTTTTGAAGAAAAAACAAAGATAAAACAGAAAGAAGAAGTAACAGGATGATCATTGGAGATCTCTCTGAAGAAGTGATAATGTATTATCCTATTATCTTAGGAACAAGAGTTGAACATGTAAAATGTTGCAGGGGGAAAGCTTTCCAAAAAAATAGAGTAACATGTAAAAGCCTGTAGCAGAAAAGAGCTTTGTGAATGCAGAGAATAAATATCACAAATGCTAGAGTTTAATAAGCAAAACAGAGATGGTCCAAGACTATACAGAATAATAAACAACACTGGAAAGACAGGGATTATACTTGCTTTGCAGGTCAGAATGAGGAATCTGGGATTTATTCTCAGGGTAATGAGAGGTCTTTGGTTATTCTTTAAACTGAAAACAAAATGATTTGGATTGTAAGAATATTTGTATTGTGAGATTAGAGGCATCAAAAGATAGAAGTGGGACTGGGACTGTGGCTAAGTGGCAGAGCGCTTGCCTTGCACGTGTGAGGCACTGGGTTCAATCCTTAGCACCACATAAAAATAAACAAATGAAATAAGCATGCTTTCCATCTATAGCTACAAAAAATACTTTAAAAAAAAAAAGATAGAAGTATACAAGGAACCGGTTCAGTGACCAATATTGAGGGGGAAAAAAAAACCCCTGAAAGATAGGAGTGGGGTCACTAGTTAGGAAGCTATTGCTATTGTCCAGGAGAAAGAAGATGGTGATCTGGACTGAGAATGATGGCATGAAGGGAAATAGATGGATTCCAAATCAATTGGGGCATGGAATGGAAAAGTAAAACTATAAGGACCTGGTTTGAGATTGGATGTGGAATAAGGAGAAAATATGAATCCTGAGTCAATTCTCATTTCTTTTTTTTTTTTTTTTTCCTGGGTACCAGGGATTTAACTCAGGGGCACTCAACCACTGAGCCACATCCCCAGCCCTATTTTGCATTTTATTTAGAGACAGGGTTTCACGGAGTTGCTTAGTGTCCCGCCATTGCTGAGGCTGGCTTTAAATGTGTGATTCTCCTGTCTCAGCCTCCGGAGCTGCTTGAATTACAGGTGTGTGCCCCCACGCCCGGCCTCATTTCTGACTTGGACAGTTGGAAAGATGGTTTGTCACTTAGTTAGATGGGACAGATGCAGGAAATTCAGAGTTCTATTTTGGACATATAAAATTTAAGACAGTTTGAAGACATTTGAGTAGAAATGTTAAATAGACAATTTAATGTAAGGCCAGAATTAAGAAAAGACTTTTTAGGAGGTATAACTATTTTCTTCAGGAAACCATTGGTATTAAATGGAGAGACTGCAGGTATGGCTCTGTGGTAGAGTGCTTGCCTAGCAGGTATGTGGGAGGCCATGGGTTCCATCCCCAGCAACACCAAACAACAACAACATGGAAATGAATGGGATCGTTTGAGGAAAGGTGTAAATAGAGAAGGAGGTCCAGGACCTAGCTCTGAGGTCCTTCTATTGAAAGCTGAAGGTTGAGTTGAAGAGGAAAAGCCAACCTAGGAAATTAAGGGGGACCAGTCAGTGTAAAAGGAAGAAAATCAAGAGAGAAACATTTGAAAGGGAGCAAAAGTGAGAAGAAAAAAAATTAAAGAGTGAGGCAATGAGCACTAGTATACCATCAAGAGGTCAAGGTCTTGTAAGATAAGGACACAAGATAACATCACTGAATATAGCAACACAAAGATGGGTTTCTTGACA